CAGGACGCAGCACGACTGGACCCACTTCTCCACCTGGTCCTCCGGCCTGAGCGGGCAGCGAGCGAGGTCAGCGCGCGCGAGCCACGAGGTGTTCTGATGGGCGTGCGCACTCGACGAGGACCTTGTCGACCCGCACGTCCCACGGTTTGTCGTCTCCGTGGAAGGGCTTGCGCTCGCCCCAAATCTGGTCGACCTCGGCGCTCTTCCTCGACTCGAAGACGTCGCCACTCTGCGAGTAGTGCCTCAGGTCGTGGACTTTGCGGCGCGGCATGGTGCTCCGTCCGAGTGGCTGGTGAGCTGTAAGAAGGCAAAGGGGAGCGAGTCGCCTTGCTCGCCGATTGCATCGCTCGCCGGCCGAGTACACACCGCAAGGTCGGGCAGGTGTGGGGCCGGGGGGCGACGTCCGAGACGCGAGACGCGAGGCGTGTGACGCCAACTCCGAGCGAGCCTCCGCGCGCCCGAGTCCGCCTCGGGCGACTCGTTCTTCGCGTGACCTTCGCTTCTCCACATCTCGCATCGTGCGCCTCACTGTCACCCTCAAGGGTCTTCCAGCATGGCTGCACAGCGCTCAGCACCTGTCGAGAACCTCGCCGTCGTCTTGCTCCTCGGCGGGAGGTCGACGAGGATGGGCTCGCCCAAGCACCTCCTCCTCCACCCGGCGTCCCAGCAGCCTCTGTACCTGCACCATCTCGAACTCTTGCGCCAGCTCGAGCGTGAAGGCGTGTTTCCCCGAGGCGTCTTTGTGAGCGCGAGGGCAGACCAGCGCGCCGCTCTCGAGCTGCCAGAGGTGCGGCCCTTTCCCCTTGTCGTCACGCTTCTCCTCAGCTCTCGAACCCTGACAGCAGAGACTGTGCAGGGCGTCGCGTGTGTCGAGGACGACCCCGACAGGAACGGCGACATCGGGCCCGCCTCTGGCATCCTGCAGGCCTCTGCCGCACGGCCCGACGCGACTTGGCTAGTCCTCGCCGTCGACCTCCCGTTCGTCACGCGCGCGTCGATACTCCACCTCCTCTCAGCGCATGCACCAGACTCGCCCGTCTCGCTCTTTCTCCACCCGTCAGACGGCAATCCCGAGCCGCTCTTCTCCATCTGGACGCCCCGCGCGCTCGAGCAACTGCGCCACAACTGCCGCGAGGGCAAGAGCGGACCTTGTCGCGCCGCGAAGGATGTCTGGGGTGGCAAGATCGTCGAAGGCAAGGGAGGCGTCAAGGTGCTCGAGGAGGACTCGGTCAGGGACGCCGACACGCCTGAGGAGTGGGAGAAGGCACTGGCTGCACTAGCGCGAAAGGAGGTGCGTCAGCATCCCCTTCCCTTACTGGACGCGTTGGCTGATTTTCCAGCAGAGGACGTAGCTTGGCGTCGTCAGCGAATCGCAGCCCATCACCCCTCCGCCTTCGCCGCCTGTCAAGCCTCGCCCGCCATTTTCCTCTGCGCCTCGTCGCTCCATTCCCTTCCACGCCGCCATCGAGCGAATCGAAAGGCTTCCCCTATCACCTGCGGTCGGTGCTGTCGAGCCTCGGACTCGCCGCGCTGCCACGGCGACGAGTGAACCGGTAACGCTGCTCCCGCTGGTCGACGCGTGCGGCGGTATTGCGACAGACACGGTACACGCTGTTTTGCCTCATCCCCTGCACGACAACTCAGCGATGGACGGCTACGCAGTCCGCTCCGCCCTCCTTTCTTCCGCCTCGCCCGACAAGCCCGTCCTCCTGCCGACCCTCGGTCGCATCGTCGCTGGCGATCCCATTCCGCCGACGCGGCGCATCGATACACTGGGAACGCAGGGCTGCTGGGAGATTATGACGGGCGCCGTCTTCCCCAGCGACGAGTTCGACGCGGTCGTCAAAGTCGAAGACGTGCGGCGCACGAGCGAGACGGATCTCGCGGGGCGACCTCTGATCCGTTTCGAGGCCCCAACGCGACCGAGGCAGCATCGGCGGGCGAGGGGTGAGCAGGTCCGGGCGGGCGACGTGATCCTTCGTTCGGGCGAGCGGGTCTCGCCGGAGAAGGTTCTCCTGCTTGCGGCCTGCGGCGTCCCGCAGGTCGCAGTGCACTCGCTGCCCCCGCCTGTACCGTTCCACGGAAGGGTCGGAGTCGTCGCAACCGGCAAGGAGGTCGTGCCGCTCTCGTCGCTCGCCCTTGACTGCGAGCTCGCGCCCGGTCAAGTCGTCGACTGCATCACCCCGTACCTCTCCTCTCTCCTTCGATCGCACGGCTTTGAGTCAGTACTCCTGTCGCCAAGCGGTGACTCCCCTTCGTCCTTCACATCGACCGTCTCCGCCGCGCTCGCCTTGAACCCACCCCTTTCTCTCCTCGTCACCGTCGCAGGCGTCTCGCGCGGCACGACCGACCACATTCCCTCTTCCCTCGCGTCCCTCGGCGCCGCACCTAGCTTCCATGGCGTTGCCATCCGCCCGGGTGCTCCCGTCATGCTCTCGCATCACGCAGCCAGTGGGACGCCCGTCCTCAGCCTGCCCGGCAACCCCATGGCGAGCGCCGCGTGCATGCGCAGCTTCGGCGACGCACTGCTGGGCCGCTTGCGCGGCGAACGGCCCGGCTGGACGGACGTGCGGGAGCTGGAGAGTGTGCGCGAGTGGGCGGCCGTGCTGGGCAAGGGGCGTGGCGGATCGTCGAGCTTCTGGGCAGTGCCGGTCGATGCGGAGACGGGCCTTCCTTCTCTCGAGGCGGCGCGGGCGAAGCAGTGGAAGGGGCCGGGCGCGCTCGGCAGCCTCGTCGGAGCGGGGGCGTGGCTCAGGATGGACGCGGACGACGACCGCGCGACGTGGGCAGCATGGCGTAGCTTCTGAGCCGTGGGTAACTCGAGCTGACCTTCTCCAGCGCAAAGTGCTCGATGTTGCACCGGCTACTGGCCGCGCACGCCGTCAGGCGGGACTACCGCGCCGCCTCGGACGAGAACATGCCCCTCGCGCTCGAAGAAGACGGGCGTCCGCGCCTGACGTGCCTCGCGCCGCTCGCGCCTGGTCTGTCTCGTCGGAGGTGCCGGAGTGTCGACTGCGTCTTGGAGAGTGCCTTCGAGTGCGGCGCCGTCTGGAAGGGCCGAAGGAGGGAGGTGAGGAGGTGCTGGGAAGCGGCGTTCGGCGTGGCACGAGAGGCAGCGGTGCACGATCAGGTGCGCGTGTGGCCCAGATGCTGGTGTTTTCAGGCATGTCAGCACGCTTCTCGAGAGGCGAGGTGCGGGAGAGGACGCACGCTTGATCCGCACGCTCGCCGACACTCCCGGGACGAGCACGGTTCCGCAACCCTTGCAAACCGTTCGCTTGACGCCAGGGTCCCTATTTGACTCGTTTGCGTTAGCCGAAGATCAAGGAGCGAGACAAAGGCAGCGCGGCAGGACGACGCACATTCGGACCGTCGCCTTTTTGGCGACCTCGGTCATTTCGCGCGCCAGGTGCCGTGCGAGCGGTTTGAGTGGGTCGACGGGTTCATGGATCTGGCGGTTTGTCCGTGCCCTCGAGCGGACCGGAGCCGTGTCAAGGCTTGCAGACAAGCCCTCGGCCATGGCTCGCCCGCCGGCGTGAGGCGGTGCAGCCTCGACCCCCGATGGGGGTTGCTCCGCCGCAATCACCCCCCGGGTATCCTTGTCTGTCCTCCTGCGCTTTGTCGGGCGTGGCTGGATGGCGTCGTTGAGGAGGGCCGAGGCCTGGTAGAGGAAGCTGAGCCGTTGGAGGGCTTCGCGCGATGGGACCGGGGTTGCGGCAGTGGGCTCTGCTGCCGTGTTGCGGCCTTTCTTGGCCATCTTGTGCGTGCAACGAGCCAGCTAGTAGTGGTGGGAGAGCGAGAACCGAGCCTCGTTGCTCCTCATCAAGTCGACCCTCCTCTCTCCCCTCGAGGTGATTCCCTGAAACCTCGTGCGGCCTTCTGATGCACTCGTACAGTCTACGCAGATCTCTCCGACTGCTGCCAGGCCCAGCCCGGCTTGCTCCGCCGCGTGTCTCTGCGGTCGAGCCCTCTCTCGTCCCCTCTTCGCGGCTGTTCCGATTCTTCTCTCCTCTCTCGCCTCCACCTCGACCCGAGTGTGCCACACGGCGCTCACTGCAGAGATGCTCGCCCTCCGCTCCACTCGCACTCTCCGCCTTGCGCGCCTGGCGAGCCCTTGCCCCACTCTCCCGCCCGACGCGCGGGCGCCCCCGCTCCTCCGAGCCGCGTCAGACGTGCTGACCCTCCCGCCTCGCACCAGCACGTCCGCCCCTTCCACGCGGACAACAAGGTCGACAACAATTTCCCCTTCAAGTACGAAGGCGCGAGTAAGAAGCGCTTCACGGTCGGCTTTGTCGCCGCCTTTTCGCTCGCCGCCGCCCTCCCTTTCCTCGTTGCCCGCTTCCAGATGTGCGTCGGACTCGTTGTGGGGCGGGTGGCGTGCTGGATCCCGTGCAGGGTGATGAGCTGACCACAGGCCTCGGCTTCCAGCAAGAAGGCGGCCGCTTAAGAGTGAATGAGGGGGGGCATCCCTGCCCGGGGTTTTGCAGTCTCGGCGGGGGACGGTGGGCCAGCGGGAAGTTCACTGTGTGCTGTGTTCACTTGAAGAGATAGGGGCCAAAGCAGCGATGCTTGCGCTGGATTCGCCTGGCCTGCCACAGGCCGCTCGACCACACCTTCCTCCTCAACTCGCTTGAGCTGCGCTTTCTTGAGCTGCAAGCGCCAGGTCTGGTGGCGTTTTGTTCTGAGCGGGAAAGCGAGCAGAATGGGGTCCTACCCTGCCCCCGTGCAGCAAAGGCACAAGCTGCCCTGGCAGCGACGCACCTGGTGCAGGTCGCTTCTCGCGAGCACTCAAAGCTGCCTGCACTCGCTCAGTGTACATCTGGACAGTCAATCGAAGTGTGACAAGATGTGCAGCAGCTGTGGCTTACTCGGCAAGCTGGCCCCCTGACTATCAAGTGAGGGGCCCGTGCGAACGCGAGGCGGCCGTCGATTCCTTGCGGCAACTGTCGCTTGTTAGACAGGGTATGTGCGTACAGCTCGACTCGTTCAGCATAGCATCTGGCCGCGTGGCCTAGTGGCATGGCGTCGCCCTCCGATTTCCAGCTCAAGCAGCTGGTGGAGATCCCAGGCGGAGACCGTGGGTTCGATCCCCACCGTGGTCGCTCTTTTGCTCCCCCCTCTTTTTTTGCGCTTGGATCTCCTGCTGTTCACCGTTGCTCATGTGCAGGGATCCTTGGCAACCTCTTCTCAGAGGTGGAGGGCAAGCAGGAGAAAGAGCGGAGCGGATGATGAGGGTCAGAGGGAATCGGGTAATAGTGATTCCACCTTCGAATCCAAAGAAGAGAGTGCCGAGCCAGGCGAGGGGTTTGACTGAAGGAGAAGAGGAGAGGGGGGGGGGAGGGGGGGGGGGAGCTCCAGCGACCGAGTCTCCTCCACCAGACCAGAACCCGAGAGCCCTTGTCAACGACAATCATTCACAGCCTGTGAGTGCGGTGGCAGTGGGACGAGAGGGGCCCAGCGAGGTTTGAGAGAAAAAGGAAGTGAGGAAAAGGACTTAGCAGCGGAAGGTCCGAGCGAGCGTGCGGGCGCCGAGTCGCTCGAGGTTGACGAGAGGGAGTCGTGTCGCAGCATAGTCCAGGCAACGGCAGTCAACCTCACCTGGCGCTTGGACCTTCTCCTGCCAGCTCACCTTGCAAACGATTCAGGCACTGGAGGCCTCGAGCTGCATGAGGCTGCGGCTCGGTCAGCATGTTATTCCCCTGCCCGTCTGCCTTCCTGCGACTCTTCCCAGCAGCAGGTGCAGCGGCCTTCTCAGCTGCCAACGCAGTGCAGTCACATGGGCACGATCTATTGGCACTTGCCCTCCGAGCCTTCAAGCAACTTGGCCGCGTGGCCCAATGGCAAGGCGTCTGACTACGACCTGCGTTCACACGC